GGTTGACCACCATGCATCTAAGGATCGAAGGTGTGCGGTGTGTGTAACCAACGAATGTGCGAAGTGGGAACATTTCGACATGGAAGCTGATCCAACCACGGTAAACAAATCCACTTCCTTCCGTCTCTTGTTCCTTCACGGCGTTTCTGTACCATCTCAGATAATCCTCCAATACTCATCGATGCAATCCTTATGATTGATGCGAAGGTGTCCCAATCGATCATCGGTAAGATTGAGTATTTTGGCTTCCCTATCATGTGTCTACATGAGATTGTATGCCATGATGGAGATGAAACAATGAGGATAATCGCGCATGCCATTCAGGATTTACTTCTTCGCTACCTCATTAAACTCACTGCTTTCATCGAATACTAGATTGATCGATTCCACTTCCTCCTCACGGTTACAGTCAGGTAGCCGAACCCAGAGTCTATTGTCATCATCGTTCTTGAGGCGAAAGTCCTTCTTGGTTCGTTTCTCATTCATCCATTCCTTGTACATGTTCCCATCTACAGTGTGATAATACGTGAGTGCATATCCGAGAGATAATTGAATCGATCACATCTGACAAGCGTCCTTCCGCGACTTGCAATCAAACAGAGCGAAAAACTTGTTTCAATGTATTTCTCGTCTCTTCTCCACCGTGTTCATAAATTCAGGCAACGGTTGTTTTCGCTTGTCACCGAATTCATGTCTATTCCATTCATACTCGAGAAATCGTTCGTTCCATGCTATGCTTCCCACAATCAGATACTTACGCTCACCTTTTGGATCACCCGTGCGCCTGTGTGTCACTTATCTTTTAGGTGTTACTTGTTTCACTCCGAGTACCTTGTTCTACACATAGGCTCGTAAATCAGGAATGAACTGGTATGTGAACTACCCATCGATCATTTAGTACTTGGCTGCCAATCGTTTCCAGGTTTGAGTGCCCAATCTTAATCTTTCGTCCAGTATTAGTGTACAATATGTGAGTAGGTCTATTCATTGTTCTATTATGTATTTATATTTATCTCTTCTAACACCTAGTTCACGCTGTGATTAAATGAAATACAAGAAAACAGAGAGCAACACATGGCCTTCCCTGGTACGCACTTGTGAGGACGAGAATATCGAACTCGCCGATATCATCATCCATACCAAGTATCCGATCAATTGTGAGCGTCTATTCGGTTTCAGTGTTCGCACCCCGCAATCGAATGTGAACTGTGGTTTAATATTGCACGACTATGATTGTATGGAGATGACGTTGGATGAAACTCATCCTCCCTTGTTTGCCGAGGAAGAGTGGGAGTATCTATTGCCTCAATTGGAATCCAATGGTCTGCTCGGTGTGCCTCTGAACGTCTTCAGCAGGACGTACTACGCTCAGCCTTATGTAGTGTCTGTGAAAACTGAGAATCGTGCTGTTTACTTCTTCTCCAACTACTATTTTCGCGTGGTCTTCAAGGTGGTGGATGATGAAGTGCCTCCAGAGTTGTCCGATTTGTTCATCGATGATGGCGCATGTCTGAAGGGTGTGTACGTTCGTGCATATCAGCGCCAAACGGGGGCAACTGTGTTGCCCCGGGGAGACATCGTTTCCCCAAAGTAAATAAGTAAATGTCGTACATCTTCAGCAGCAATGGAAACAATTACACGTTCAAGAAGCTCGACAACATGCTCATCAACATGCCAGAGAAGGACGGTCATCATGTGCTAATTCGAGAAACAGTGGATGGTGTTCCTCAATACTCGTGGGGCAGTGCTTCATGCATCGTGAAAGTGAACGAAGCATTTGTCTTCGAGTACACACCAGAAGCTACCGAATCATTCAATGGCGAATGGGGTGGTGATGGTATGCCACCAATGCCGTCCGGATCCTACCTGGTGACCACGAATGTCATAACATACCTTCCCGATGACATGTTCAACGATTGCGACTCAATCGAATCGGTGGTTGAAAAGGGTTATCGAGTGCTAGTCACGTTTGACAATACGCCTATCCTAGACAGACCGTACATCGATACATTGAATAGTCTTGTATCTCATACTGGTTATGCTGTTGTAAATGTTGGTACCTCTCCTGTCCTTCGTACGTATTCGAATCTTCCTATCATGCTTCTAGGTGGTGTGAAGAGCATCACGATCGTTTTCGAACACCTAGGGGACGCTTCATCTGCTTCTTCTGGGTGCTCGTAATGGGTCGATGTGATCTTGCTGCCTCTCTCAATGCATTGGGTTCCTTTCGACTCTTGGATCGAGTGATGGGTGGTGCTGGTTGTGGTTTGCATTTGCTAGCCAGCAGTTCCCAATGATAACACTTCTGTGTGCTATCGCTTTCCACATTCTTCACTTCGTACATCAATGGCATGATGTGATCGTCAATGTCAACAACTTCAACCAAGTCCTGAGACCATTTGTTCGTCAATGATCGCTTTTCCAGAATGCGAGGTCTTCGTGTCACTCCAACATAATCACCCACATCGAATTGAGGTGTTGTGTCCTTTGCTGTCATGTTGGATGGTTCTGTTTTCTCCGTGTACAAGATATCGTTGTTGTTCCAAATGTCATTGTGTGTATATCCGATGTCTCTGTTCTTCCTTCCATTGTGTCGACGAACTGCACCATCGATCAAGTCGAACCATACACCTTTCCATTGATTGAATGGAAGGAAGGAACCATGATGTTTTCCTTGATATCTCGAATTGTTCGTTCAGCTAGTACTGCCTTATTCGCTGAATCCATGTGATACATGGTGATATCATACTCGTTCAAGATATTGGTACGAAAGATGGCATTGGTGAACTCGGTACCTCGATCCGAACAACTAGGCTTTGGTGATTCACCATATGTCTGAATGATATCCTTCATCGCATGAGTGACTTCTGTGGTACTCTTACTCTTCAGTTTCCGAGTGATCAGGTATTTCGAATATCCATCAATACATACAAGGACGTACTTTTATCCACGATTCTTATAGAATCCAGTACTCTTTTGTGATCCTAACACTTCCTGTATCGATTTGTGTTGTTTGAAAGAGAAATCGATAAGATCGATGAAGTATATGTTTCGTTTGAATCCACTGATGATCATTCGAGTTGCACCTCTTCGTTTTGGTCGTTTCCATAGTTCCTTGATCTCATTCATGTTCCACACACACATCGACAAATGAATCGCTTTATTCAAGGAATGAATGAGTTGTGTCAGAGGAAGAATCACAAACTGGTTATAGACTCGAAATGCATTTTCTCCACTATACACTACTTCAAATAGAGCATCACTCGCATTCAACATTGCAATGATCGTTACGATATCATATGTACCTCGTGGTATCGATAGAGTATGGAGAGTGGATCCAAATACACTCATAACTTGTAGCCATTGTGGAAATTGAGAATGTAGTATTAATCATGGTGTTCAGAATGGCAATGATTTCACTCAGTGTATAATAACCAGGCGAGATCATTACCTCTTCACCATTGATGTTTGTCACCACATTGGTTGAATCCACAATATTGAACATGACTTGATTGGGTTTGAATAGAACAGTGATGGAAGTGATAAATGGATTTCTGAACTTATAAGGATTGATCCAATCGAATGAACCATTGATAGGTGAATCTTGTATGAGAATGGAATAATGCATGTTCTTTCTTTACCAAAGACACTTATGACTTGCATAGACAACAATAGATGGATTTGTGATGACAATGTACACATATTGGCTTTCGGTTATTACAAATAAGCAAACAAACATGTAAATACAAGAGAAATAACAATAATTCACCTTTGCTAGGTATGTCTACTGCTTTCATGCACCTGGATATTATTGACCACATAATCGGCTAGTCAACCCAGGAACGATAATTGTGGACTCAAAATCGGTTGGTCGATTCCAACGACCAATAAAGGGTTTGTATTTGTTGTCACGCCGCGTTTTGTTCAAATCAAACGGCCACCGGGTTTTGCGTAAAAAGCGCCATTCCCTTACTTCTTTCCATCATTCCATTTGTGCAAATAAAATGGAAATCTAGCATTATGCCTGCTCATACTTGAATGAGCTTTTTACCATAAAACCCACCAATTGAATAGTAGCTTACAGATGTATTCTGTTGTGTGTCCGCATGATAATACTTTGACTACTGTTTAGTTTTACCCTTTCACAGAAATACTAATCTTTATTTGAATGATTGAAGTTAAGAACATTGAGTGATATCTTTCATTCCAAATACTCACTCTAGAATTCCAGTTGTTGATATTGTTTATGTTATCTATCTTCGCTAATTGCAATAAAAATGGTAGTTGATTACTGTCTCCAATCATAATTACAGTGAAGTCTCACAACTGGGATAAGTATGTTTATCATTAGCATAGAGTCCATTCTTGTTATCCTCCACTTTATCATTATCAACATTGCTGATATTGTTATTTGTAGTAATATTAGTTATATTCATCCTTGTTGATTATATAGTAAATACCATGAAAGACTACACAGATTTGAATTATATACCAACATTTGGAAATTTCCATTCTTAGTCTCTATACTATGCATATTGTGTAATGATTATGATTGATTTGCAAATAGGAAAAGCCTCTTGAGTTGTTAGTCCAAGATTGGTGATACTGAGCTAAAGTTAACGATAATCGAGTATTTAGGTATTCACAAATTTGTAAAAATATCGTAATTATTATGTCACCAATGAATCATACATGAAGAATAAAGCTTTGTTAACATCTGAGTTGTTCAATGGATGAGTGTAATTGCATATATGGGTTGTAATGTGTTGTTGTTCAGATTTCTTTTTTCAATAGTATGAGAAATGATGGAAGATAAGAAATCTTTACTGATCTTTCGACTCATATCCCCACCACTTCAGAGAATAGGAATGGAATAGTTCTTATCTAGATATAAAACCTCCTTATTCAGATAGAATAGTTAATCCATGTTTCTGAAAGAAAACAAGAATTCCTACACTTCTTCACCCTAATTGGCCTGCTATCGATTCAACAAACATTCCATTCATTGCCAGACTAATAGATTCATTCACTGCGACTTTTGAATCGCTTCCATCATCGGCTTCATTATCTTCTGCTTTTCCTCTTTGATTTGTTCCTCGCCCATCTGTTTCCGCATCTTCCTCACTTCCTCCTGCATATCGTCCAGTAGTCCCAGTTCCACATCCACCACAAAATCCGACAGCACATCCGCGTTGATAATCGCAGCACAATTCTCATACACATTCTGTGCATGCGTATTCGGAACCACATGTCCGTTCTACTCATCACTCCCTCCCTCTCTCCACACAATATTCATTCCCGGAGAATGCACGATTCCCTCAATCATCCCCTTGCAATTCCCCTCCACATCGAACGCTCCTCCGCCCACCATTCCGCCAGGCAGAACCACGCTCGATGTCACCATCGACCGTCCGTCCTGGATGTGGAGCGCGCGGCCTTCGCTCGTCTGCTCGTCATCCACACAAACAAACACAACAAAAGGAATTAGGATTGACACATCGCGGCCTTCTGCGTCTTCGCGCGCTTCTCGTCGATGTCCGGCCAACAAAATCGGCTTGAATTCAGTCCGTCTCAACGTTCAAACTTCTCCTTTCTTTGGCGAAGTTTCGCTTAGTTGAAGACCGTGGACGGCGTTGTAGGGCTCGTTTTCTTCACGGAGACGACGAATCGAGGAGCTGTGCAGCTCGACGCGGGATGTTGCTTGGGAGAGAAGCGCGTCGACTTCTTCCAGAGAGTTGGGACGCGGTTGGGATTGGGGCGGTTTGGAGGGAGACGGATCCATCCCATACATTTTGAGGGTCTCGAGGGCTTCTTCTTCCTTGTGGAGGTGGAAACAGCACAAATCGCTATGCGAATCACCCGAACAATACAGAGACCTACCGATAATTGTGGGCAATCACCTTGTTGTTCACACCTACGCGATTTGTTATATTTCCGTTCATCTATCCCTCATACAGCTATAAAATAGCGCACGTCTCGGAACTCCGCTGTTAAAATCACATTGTCTTCAGTTACATACTGCAACCATGGATACGAAGAATCTATACCATGAATTGAACAATATTAAAATACCTGGAAAGTAGGATTTGAACAAGTAGGGAGCCACGACATGAAACGGGCATACAAAATGATATTTGTAATCATACTGTTTGCTTGCTTTAAATGGGACACAGGAAGACATCGCTAGTAACTCAAAACGATCCATTCCCTGTTTTCATTATTCACTCTCACAATATTTTACTTTTGCTGGTACACGATACCATGACGTTACTGTCATTACACTTTTCTGAGCACTCTGCTTGATCGCGTTGAACATCCTTCAATTTTGTGATATGACGTCACTTGAATATCTGTAATACGACGCACGCACAAGAAAAAACAAATTGGGGGATTCAATCGCTTTTTCTAATATTTCCTTCCACTTTTGTCATTCCAAAAATAGTACTGGGTACCACTTTTCCCTGTTTCTGTGTGTCATACTTTGTGTTTGGTTTTCCCCTCATGAGCGCAGAGGCGCAACTTAGCGGTGATAACTCCATTACCGTTAGTACTGAAGACGAGAGAATGGAGTATATGACTTCTAGTGATTCACAAGACGCACTATCTATTCCTTCAGATTCTGCAACATGTATGAAATTGAATACTCTGGTGTAACAACTAGCCTGCAGCTCTCCGAAGTCAAAAGAAGGAGGCGAATCAATCTTTTCTTTTATGATGCATCGAAAGCGAGACAAACGCTCCTTTCGAGAGAGATACACCCGTTTTATGAAGGAACTAAGCTCCAAACAAACTGTCGAAGTTGTGACTCCTACACTCTCCTGGAGAGTTTCAACAAATAGTAGCAAGTCCGCTCCGAATGTTTATGTGGCCAAAGTCCTCTACCATCCCTCCATTCATGGTTATTCGCCTCTGCTTTCAGGAATTTCTTATAAACGTAAACTCGCTTATGTTCCTAAAGCATCTGTGTATCAAGGGAGTGTGGTTTCTCAGTCTCTGCCCATTTCCCAATTCTAACTCACTGGTTTTATTACTGTATTGTGTCTATGTGTTCTGTTTGTCTTAAACACGCTCTAAACCAAACTACACAAGCAAAATCGCGTTGATACATCCATCGTTCTCCGGATTGTTCGTTACCTGCGCGTACTTGCCTATCCCTCAGTCCTTCCTTCCTTCCATACCCCATACGACCTTTCCCGACTCCGTCACCAATCCCAACTCGCTCACATTCACCTCGATGATCGTTCCCTTCGTGATCACTCCCAGCTCGGTGTACAATTTGCTCTGCGGATTCTTCTTCACTCCGATAATATCCAAATAGAACGTTGTCTTCAATTCGGGGTGAGTAACGTGCGCTTTCTTGAACCGAAGTCCTGTCGGACGAACGAAGCGCTCGTACTTTGGAGGCTTCCGCGTGAAGCCCTCGCCCACGAACGTCACTTTCGTGATCATTCGCTTCCACTGCTTCTGCTTCCGTTTTCCTGTCGAGAGAACGCGGAACATCTCCGCATCGGCGATCGGGTTCACCTTCGGAACCGGCACCGTCCACTTTCCAGCCTTCTCCTTACGCTTTTGCTTCACTGTGTTGCTCAGAATCTTTGACCGAGACACTCCTTCACGATCCAGAAGGTAGGCAGGAAGAGCTCCCTCGGGAGTGGCGTCCGTAGTGGCGTGCTTGTTCGAACGCTCCTCGTGCATCTTGATTCTACGTCCTACCCATTCCCCACCACTTACTCTTTACGCATGGCCGCCTTCTCCTTGTATCGTTGAGCACTGTGCAGAATTCCCTTAATTCCATGCACTTTCTTTGCGTATTTTGCCTTTTCGTGACCTGCTCGTGCTTCCTTCTTTCTCCTAGCAAAATCAACAATAAGAAATGAAACCCCACTTTCTCTCATAGTAATCAAAACGAACTCCGTGTCGTTTCTGATGTAGCTCAATAAACTCGTTCTGGGGCTACAGAAATCAAAGCAGATACAACAAAACGCACCATATTGGTTCGTCCTAAAAGCGAGGAGTTCTATTGATTATTCTTTCGAATACAGCCAAACAAAAAGACGGGCGTTTCATCGAATCACTCTCACACTTTTCTTTTCTTTTTAAAAACAAACAACTCACAACTTTTTCTCATAGAATGCAAGGTAGCATTCCGAAATTGGAGCATCTGCAGCCAGGACAACCTTCGAATCGTTGCACAACACCCACTCTTTCACACCTTCTTCGCGATAGGCAGCTACATAATGCCCGAAATCGGCTTTGTCTCCACGATGCAGACACACACTTGCCAATTTATACCATCTTTTCTCGGTTCTACAAATCAGCACTCACGCCCAACAGCTTCGACATATTCAATTCCGGGTCGAGACACCTCGCCACTGCGATTTCCTCATCGATTTCCACAGCACTCTACACACAAAACACCATGATGGAGGGAAACAGTATTCTTTCGAATGGCGAATGTCTGCGGGTCGACAATGAACCGATTGATTCGAACACACAACACCGAGGGGAATTCATCGATCACCATCGTTCGTGTCCACATCGATTCTGCCATTCATCCTTTTCTCCATTTCTACTTCCATTGCAGCCAGTACACTGCAATTCGACCTGTTCTCCCTCCAAGCTCGCCGTTATCAGCTGTGCCAGCGATTCGTTCTGCTCCGCAATCTGAACGTTCAGCGCGATTTCTTCGTCCTGCGGACCGTTCGATCGCGCTCCGCACGTTTCGCACTGCTCTCCAATCGCTCCTCTCCCCTACCTTCATGCTGTAATGAAAGGGAATGCGGAACAATCTGCGCATCCACGCCGCGTCGCCCAACGCGTCCAAAAACACCGTCAAAAACTCGAAGCAATCTGCAATTCATTGCGTGTTTCGTTCCGAACCCTGCTGCTGTGTGTTGTTAAAATCCGGCGCTACGCCGCCGATCGCCTGCTTCAGCAGCCTGGGCTGCACGTGCTTCCCTGCCGCGCCGTTGCGCATTTCCTGAGCGACTTTGGAGAACTGGCAGAGAAGACAGCTGGAAGGAAGAGGGTTGGTGCAGTATTGGAAGTGCGTGCTCCAATAAGCGTTCTGGAGCAGCCGGTTCACCGAGCGGAGATGCAGAAGGCACTGGAGAATGGCGTTCAGATAGCAACTATTTCCGAGATTGTCGAGTCCGCAAGCGGACGGCGTGGCTGCAAGCGGGTAGGGATCGCCCTGAGGATCGTTCTAGTGAATGGCGGAGTGTGTGGAGAGTACCATGGAGAAATCGAACTCCGTGTTCACGAAAAGATTCATTTCCAGCAGCGATTTTTCGTGCTGCGAGCTCGGTAGACCGACAAGCTTCCCGTTTGCCAGCACGCCGAACGCGGTGAGGACGGAGTGGATGGACGGCAGCAGCACATCGCCGTAGTTGCAAGCCGGATCGTCATCGCACGCGTAGCAATGCACATCTGCGTGATTCTAATCGCTAGAAAGCCGCAGCGACGCTCACTTCCTGGATCGAGGCGATTTTCACCACCAGACAATGCCCTGTTTTCCGGAAATGCTCGATCGCGTGGCCATTTCCCGGCATTTCCTCCGTCGCGTTCCACTGCTGTCTTCCGCAATGGAACGTTCCGCACTCTAAACACAGCCACAGATTCCGCGCCAACTCGCAGTCTTCGCATCGCATCGTTTCTGTCCCTCAGCGTTCCCAGCGATTCTCACTCAGATCGACGTGTGGACAGGGATCGGGGCGTTGATAGGCCTCGCAGTGCGGACATGGCTTCGCGTTCTCCGCCTCCCATTGACTCAGCTCTTTTTCTTTCTCGCCAGACGCGCTCAACAAGATCCGCTCCCCGATTTCACGCACCTGTGTGTCACAAACAGGATCAAACACAACGAAGTCTGGCGCTGGCATCGTAAGATCGCAAGCCAGACACACGACTTGCATGTCCGTTTCGTAGATCGGAGAGGGGGGTAAAGCGCCTCCTTCCACGCCGATTGCGAGCTTCGTGAGTTTTTCTGGGCAGGAATCGGCGTTTTCTGCGGATGTGGAGGCGGGAGCAGGGGAAGGGAGTTCATGACGGAAAAGACGAAGATAGAGCGGATGGCCCGATTTTTTGAAGTGGAAGCGGGAGTGTTCTGCAGAACCCGTGCAGAATCCCTGGTAGCAGGTAAGACAGACGTCGATTCCTTTGTTTTGATCCTATGAGATAAAAAAAGAGAAGAGGGAGAATGCTGTACCCATTTGGAAAAACAATAGACACACTCTTCCTTGTACACAAGAGTGGATGAAGTCAATGGTTTGATCTGCGTGTAAGAATGGAAATGATGGGGCGCATACACCCTCAGCAAAGTGATTGCAGTTGGCAGGAGTATTCACAAGTCCACTCAGGTTATTATCATCCGTCCCTATGATTGGCTCATTTACCAGTGGAGCTCCTCCGCTACACCATAAAAATGCTGGACGAGGCATACTTATCAAAAAACAACGAAACCGCTACAAAATCAATTTCTCATTGTGCTATCTTACCTCCTTCGATATTCCAGTCACAGCATTGGAGATACGCAACAGCAATATCCATCGTACATCCACACATCCCACAAAAGTTACAAGCAACCTCGTTCTGAGATTCGTTCATTGGAATAAGTTAAGAAGAAAACCGAGAAGGGTTGAATAAAACTCTAATTGTTTTGTGAGTTGAATAGTGAAGTGAAGCTAATAATGATGATAGTAGTAATGATGTGTGCAATATGGAAAACACTCTTCAAACAGGGAAAATAAAACTTCTACTTGAGAATCGCATCTTCATTGTTTCCGTATTCTAATGATCCATAGAATAACCGAATAGTATTTCCCATTGCTAATATTTCAAAGAATGAATCTTTGAACGTGAATTCTTGATAAATATAGACTATTACTTTACGTGTGGAACTGCAAAAACAAAAGTTTGCAAAAAACTATCCGTGCTATCTTTTTTGTTGCTCATCGTATGTTTCTGCAAAAAAGAGTGGTACTTGTGTAGTTTATCCCACTGTTTGAGTGAAAGTTTGAACCCAATGGATTTACGAGTGGGATACAATTATCGACTAGGTAGGAAAATAGGAGGCGGTGCATTTGGCGACATTTACATCGGTACGGACATTTCTTCTTGTAGTTTGCTCTGTCTTGTATTTGATTGCATAGGTGAGGAAGTGGCCATCAAATTGGAGTCAGTAACATCGAAAAACCCGCAACTGGGTTTTGAGTATAAAGTATATCGACTCTTAAAGGGAGGAATTGGTATTCCAAGCGTGTACTATTACGGAGTGGAAGGAACTTTTAATGTGATGGTAATGGAGCTTCTTGGGCCGAGTTTGGAGGACTTGTTCAACTATTGTAACCGACGATTCACACTGAAAACAGTTTGCATGTTAGCTCAGGAAATGCTACTCCGAATCGAGTTTCTGCACTCCAAGTTGTTTATTCACCGCGACATGAAGCCTGACAATTTTGTGATTGGTTTGGGGAAGAAAGCAAACATCATCCACCTCATCGACTTTGGCTTGAGTAAACGGTACCGAAACCCCATCACCAAAGCTCACATTCCGTTTTCCATTTCTTTCACTCAACTAACATCCAGCTATCGCGAGAACAAAAGTCTGACAGGAACGCCTCGCTACGCCTCGCTGGGCAATCATTTAGGCATGGAGCAAAGTCGCCGCGACGATTTGGAATCGCTCGGCTACATCTTCCTCTACTTCCTCAAAGGTAAACTCCCCTGGCAAGGCCTTCGCGCCGAAACCAAAAAGGAAAAATACTCCAAAATCATGGAGCTCAAAGTCCAAGTCGCCTTTCCTCTTGCGTTTCCCTTAGCTCTCCGTCGCCGATCTCTGCGAAGGCTATCCCGACGAGCTCAAAGTGTACCTGGAATACTGTCGCGCGCTGCGCTTCGACGACTGTCCCGACTACGCGTATCTTCGCCGCCTGTTCCAAGACCTCATGAAGCGGAAAGTAAGCGAGCGCTCATCGCGTAATCCAAGCAAATCCCCAACGACGGCGTGTATGATTGGATGGACGAATCGCTGGCGCACAATCCCGCGGTTCTCCCGAAGCACTGCATCGACAGTTCGGGGCATCTGCGACGCGATCTGCTGCGTCCCGCGCCGCTGAGCTACCGCGTAAATCGATTGGTGGCGGGTGAATGCGAGGCGTGGCGATGAGAAATAGACGCGGAGGAGGCGAGCGGAGCGGTAGGGAAGCTGACGCCGTCGAGTTCGGCGCATTCGTGGGGAGTGGAGAGGCGTGGTGAGTAGAATGAGGCGTGCGGAGGAGGAAGGAAGAGAAGCGGAGAAGACGAGCGGAGGCGAAGAGGAGAAAAAACGCGAGGCGAGGAGTGGAGTGTTTGGAGAGAATGCGAAGACGGAGATGGAGGGGAAGGAAAAGAACGTGGGGACGAGTTCCGGTCCTTTGGATGCGGGCAATGCGGGCAATGCGATGAAGGGAGAAGAGGCGGGGAAGGCGGGGAAGGCTCCCGATGGAACCGTGCAGAACAAGGCGGGCGGAGCACGAATGGGAACGTTTCGACGCCTGTGGCATTTTTAGTCAATTCGTAGCTGGATCTTTTTGAGTGTTTGTTGTGAAATAGCAAAAAGAGCAATTGGATGAATGAATCTGGGAACAAACAAACAAACAAACGAACAAATGAATGAATGAATAAATGAACGTATAGTTCTCCGATAAATGTGGGAGCAAAAAAGAAAACAAATAGTTCTCCAATAAATGTGGAAACAAACAAACAATCTAATAAACTCATTCACTACACAACACACATCCTCCCAACCCTTCCTCTTCATCGCTTAAAAGGCAGCGGAATGCCCAGCTCTTCCTCCGTCTCCAATCCGATCATCTCCATCACTTCGCGATCCCCTTTGTCCATCCCCTCCGCCATGCTGCCGATCACTTCACGGCATTGGCTTCGCCGCTGTCTCCAGATTTTCTCAGCACGCGCAATCTCCGATCGAAGATTGGCGAGTTCTGCAGGATCAATCACATCGGCTCTGCGATTCACTCCACAATCCGATCCATTACGACTGCAAGCTGGCCACACGCTCTTCCATTCGCTTGATATTAGCGGTCATCTCGGCGATTCCCTTCTCCAACTCGGCTTCGCTCAGCGCGGAATCCAGTTCTTTCAGTTCTACTCTTCAATCATTGCGAGGAACAAACCATTCTTTAACATTCCCACCTCGCTTTGGAGAGACTTTTCCTCTTCTTCCAGAGCGCTTATCTCTTGATCCATCTTTTGGAACTCGGCTTCATCGATCTCGGGGAATTGGCTTTGATCTGCAAAATACACTTTGCTTTTTCCATATTCCTTCTCGACGATTTTGCCACTACAAATGAGCTACACGACTAACATCCACTCTTGAGCTAATTGGGCTAAGATTCGCACAACGTATGCTTTCTTGACTTCCTTGTGCAAATTCTCGAAGATCGTCAGGGCATTAAAAGGTTTGTTTTGCTCATTGATATACCGTAAAACCACTTCATATCCTTGCTTTTCTGTCAATTCCTTTTTCACACCCTTTTCTAGACATAAACATCCCATCATTTCTTGACCTTCCTTTGTTTTCTTGCCTGCACTTTCTAAAGATAACCTAATCTCAATATTACCCACTTTTAGTTGCTGCTGAACTAGAAACTTTTGTTTTCTTTGGAGATTTCGGAGCGCTCTTCTTTTGGGGAGCAGCGCGCTTTTTCGATGGCTCTTCCGGTTCACTGTCAAAATCTTCCTACAATGAAAGAATTTAAAGCAATCCACACGTCCTCTTCATTGTATCCATCCTCTTCAGTATCCTCTTCTACCTGGTTACCTTGACTCGAGTATTCTCCATCTGTAGATTCATTCTCTTTCTTGGCCATCGATAATACAAATTGAATTTAGAAAGAGCGGCAAAAATGAACGAATTATTGCCTATTATTGGAAATGTAAAAATCAATCACGCATCTTATCATTGAAAAACAGAGAGTGGGAGGATATGCTTGCTCTCTTTAAGAGCATTTTATCTTCAAAAAAGCTAAGCGGTCCTCGTCTTCAACTAAGCCTAAGCAAACCTCCTCGTATTCTTGAGTATTGCTTTCAATCAAATGTAGCCCAGAGGAAAAGACCGAGAAACCCAGAAAAATCAAAACAAAAGGAGGAATTAGCAGAGAGCGGAGAAAGTCCTGCCTCGCTAGGTAACTTTTTAAATGTGTGTATAAGATAAAAAGGAAAGGACCCAAAACATCTTGAACTGGTCGAAACCTCTGCTGGCTTCGTATATCTTCCAACTTCAAACAAGCAATTACCCACAAAGCAAAAGAAGAGCGAAAAAACAAAAAATCAAACAAAGAAGCCAACTCGATTAGAACGACAGGCAGAATTGGTATTTCATTATATTCTTTGAAATGAATAGGTAGGTTGAAACGCAGAAACGAATGAAAATGGCAACAGAGTGCAAGTTTTTCAAGAGGGGTCGATGTCACCGGAAAGATTGCGAATTTCTTCATGATGGCCCTCCACCTTTATGTTACAATATTTTAAAGAACGGTGTATGCACTGAGCGTAGGAAATGGAGTAATCTAACACCCAGCAAATTGTATTTATAGCCACGATCCAAAGAAAGTGGGTTGCATGTTTTTCCACATTACTCACAACTGTACAAGAGGAGACAAGTGCAAGTTCAGCCATGAGGCGATCTCTCCTGAAGATCTGGCAGAACTCAAACGAATTTATGACGAAATGGAGTTGGAGAAGCACTCTGTAGGAGAAGGAAGGTGATTGAACGTAGGTTATGCCAGCTGATGTGGCGCAGGCGATGCTGAAGGAGGAAAAAGCGATGCAAGAAAAGGAATTGGAACTGGAATCGTTTGAAGGCCTTCCAAGCTTATTGTCAGTGATGGAACAGACAGCACAGGGAGTGAAAGAGGATAGTGAAAAGCAAGAAGAGGAGAAATCGATGGAGGTGGAGGTGGAAGAAGATAATGAAAGTGAGAGCAGTAGTTTTGATGAAAATGATCCATTCTTTTAGTTGTTCAATGTTTGTTGAAGAGAGGAGGAATGGATTAAGATTAAGGAGGGAATGTGATAAGGAAAATGCTGCAAATGGATGGGAAAGTGGGTCAAGGTTTTAAATCAAATTACAAAGCAGGAATAAGATACTAATAATGACAATAATACGTGTAATAAGCGGATGAATGACTACAACGAAAAAGAGAACATTGATGTAATCATCTGCTAGGTTTTGAGAATATGGATTCGTAACAATCATTTGAAATTATCGAAATAAAAAAGGCTCATATGGAATATACAACCTATTATGCTATGTTCAACACCCAAGCAGGATGCATACCTTCATTTTTCAATAATATTATCCAGGAATGTAAAAGACAGAAATAAAAGGCGAATTCTACGATTTTATACAATAATAACCTGAGAGAATGGCATAGAAAACACAAAACGACAATAGGAATTTCAAACACAGGAAATTAGTGTATTCTAGAGAAATAAAGAACCATAGGAATCATAAAAATCCAAAAGAGAAAGGAAACTGGTCAGACAACACTAGTTCCATAATAATACTACAATAATATAAATTAGAATACTCTGTATACACAATAATATACAAATATCTACGGATTATTCTCCTGATGGTAATGACAAAGAAATAAGTAATATCTACTATAATGGTATACATAGAAACGTCTCAATCATTCAAAAAAGTCAATTGCTGAAAACATATACCTATTATTCTGTTAATTATGCAATAAGGTAGTATTCTGAGGATTATGTGCATATTTTAGAAATAAGAGGAATGCGCCAAAATTATAGAATAATCTGAGGTAAAAGTGGAAATCAGTATTTTTTCATTATGGTCAACAATTTTGATTGTATTCATATCCATAAGCCATAATTATATAGATTCTTCAAAACAAGCCAGAGAATCAAGGTATTTACTCAATGACTACATTACCATGGAAAAGAAGATAATTTCCATTAATGGAGTCGATTATGAAGTAACCCTATATCAAGGAGATCATTCCAATGAGTATTTGTTGAGTGAAATGAAAGAGGGTAAAGTAGAAGGTCGTTGCCAATTATTCAATCGAGGAATCTTGAGTCTTGCATGGATGATGAAAAATGGTAAACGAATCGGTGGAGTGACAGAATATGAAAATGGTAAAGCATTACAAAGAGAAAACTGGAATTCAATCGTTGGAAATGATGGAGATCGAAGAAGAATCGAAAATAGTAAAGAAGGATTGATAATGACAATTCGAAGTAAGCGTGGAAAAGATAATGATAGTGATGTGGTGATCTATCGAGGTGGATTTGATGAAGAAATGAATCGAAATGGTTATGGAATCGAATATGATATAGAAAATGATGGTAAAGAAAAGATAGAAGGATATTGGTCAAAAGACAAATTGATTCGAATGATTCGTGAATTTGATGTTGATAATAACCAAATGATCGAATATGCTGAAAACGATGATGAGAATAGTAATGATGAAATATTGAATCGAATTCCAGTATATATAGGAGGATATAGTATAAAAAATGGTAAATTTGTACGAAATGGATTGGGATATTTGCTTGATGAAAGCAGTGGAACAGCAATTCGTGAAAGTGAATGGGAACATGGGTTAGAGAAGAAAGGTGGAATGGATTTGTATGAAGGTTGGTATGTGAAAGGAATGAATGAAAGTATTCGAAGTGTATTAAAGAATGAAAATCCGAATGAAATGAAAACTGAACCAATTGTAAATGAGCCTTCCAAACGAATTGAAGTGAATAATAGTTCTGAATTGAATGAAATGGATTTGAAAGTAACAGAATTGGTGATATGTTCGTATAGTTGTAATGAATTGAATGAATTGAAAATGAACCAATTGGAATGGTTGGAATCAATCGAAATCGGCGATGATTGCTTTGAATCAGTGCAAACATTCAAAATCGATGGATTGAATCGATTGAAAAGTTTGAAAATCGGAAACAATTCATTTACTCAGGCAAAGAACAGTACTGGAAATGACAAATCGAAATCATTGCACATATTGAATTGTGAATCATTGGAATCGATTCAAATTGGTGAATATAGTTTCAGTGATTTTGGAGGCGACTTTGAATTGAAGAATCTACCACAATTACAATCTATTCAAATTGGTACTATGGAAAAAGAATCGTACAACTTCCGTAATAGTTCATTTGTGATTCGAGGTATTGGTATGATATTGTATATTTGAATACATAGATCTTCCAAATCTACAATCCATAGAATTAGGATATGAAACTTTTGGATATTCCCTAACAACAATAATTGAAAGTATTGAATGAATGTGAATGAAATGATTGATATAGATCTTCCATCATTACAATCCATTACACTCAGTATATGGGCACTTTGGGGAAGACATAATGATAAATCATGTTCCCTGATGATGCGAAGTAAAAAAGAAATGATTCTAAATTATAGAATGTAGATCTTCCAATTTTTACATCCATCTATTCTCAAGGATATAGTTTCTGTTATCCTCGCGTAGTAACATTGGAAAGTAGTTCTACTAATTGAATGCTGATAGAATATAGATATTCCTTATCTTCAACACATTGATTTACCTAATTCATTTAAGCTGGTTCAAGACATATCAATTTCAGGTATTATGTTGTTTCATTTGATTTCTTTCATAGATGTTTCTTCCAATCTCGCGATATTTTTTTAGTGCGACAAAATTAGTGTCAGTAATGGTTATAATTATAGTTCGATAAAACAAGATAAGCCTGATTTCACAAGACCTCCTATCATTGCTGACAATTGTGATGATAATAAACCAACTTTACCTAATGGTATTGATTTAGCTGATGATGATGATAATGTTTTTGTAAATGAATCTTCTTAGAAATAGGAATAATACGAACTACTTTGAGTGAACATATTCTAGGTATTTTGGTTTTATGTATTCTTTGATTATTGTATGTTCCATGCTTACTTTGTTTGTTTAAAATCCCTTGACCATCACTTTTTGGTCATTCCTTTGAGTTCAATTGTCGATTGATTTTTTCTATTATCACACTCCAGATTGGTTTTACTAGTATGTTTCTATCGATTGTCCATTTGGTGATATGAAGACAATGGAATATTGATTAAAAAAGAGCTGAAATATAATATCCAGTTTGTACTATTGTTCAAAATGGTAATCAACTACATATGACACTATTCAATATTCTGAGCGATTGAATACAGACTATTTTGTGAATGAATTGGACTGTACTTCATTATCGAAAACACCAATGTGCAATTAGATGGAAAAGAAAAAAGAAATCCTTGTTTCACTTCTATTTGTGCTAAATATATAAATATGTTGTTATTACAGTATTACCTGTCCTGTGAGTTTGAATCGTTACTTCATAATTGATAAAGAGATTATTATTCAATTTTACTTTTATAATCATTAATACACTTGCTTTCTTTATTGACAACTCTACTACTATATCACTTCGTGTCAAAATATGGTATATTTGTAGTTTTTTCTTACACCTATTGCAAACTTACAGAAAAGTAAAGAATATGATCTCCAATATTAATGGAATCACATTCTGTTCTTTCACATTTTTCGCTTATCACTCATAAATTGTAAACACTGCATGATTCTTTTTCTAACTTTGATTGATGGTCATTTTCACATAATAGATCAAGTATCCAATTTTGTTCGATACAATCACACTTTGTGATGGCCATTTATTCTCACTTTTATTTCATATGGTTAAATCAACACACGTTTCGTTTGTTCAAGCTCAATCACAGCAATTTGTACCTCCAAAAGTGCACAGCTAGTTATCAGTACAATATCAATCCTATGGTTTGCTCTATATAGTTGTTACTTATCAGGCAACTATAAATGAGTTGGCTTGCCAATATTACTCATCACAATATTTTTTTGTGTCTTTTTTAAGAGAAAATTCTTTTATTCGATATCACTAGTTGTAGTGTTCCTATACACTGTTCAGTAAAACACTATACCATCTGACGTTTCTCGTATATTTGGAAAACAAAGTATATATATATATATATATGAAAGTTATCTAGTTTCTTTACACATTACTTTGCATTTTCAATTACTATCATAATACGCTGTTTATTATGTATTTTCTTTTTTCCCTCTATCTCTGCTCTAATTATCCATAACTACCATATATATACACTCTGCATCAATGTTAAGATATTTCGTGACAGATTGTCGTTTTCCATGGACAGGGAATGGTTTGGATGAGGATATGGCGTGTACTATCTGTCTCTTACAAACCTTCATTTCTCTCCTTTATTTTGGCTACTCATTCACTCAGAACTGCACATTATCACTTTTTTCATTTTCTAATGTCTTTTAATAATTCCATTAGCTACGAAGAGGAGGTGACTCCTGTAAAATTCAACGCTGTCGCGATTTTACCAAAGCCTGGAGATAATGTTGCTGTTGCGATAAATGAGATTCCTATGGGGAGTCTGGTTGAATTATTGGATGGAAATATTGTTTCGATATCCCATACAGTATTAGAAGGACATCGTTTTGCTGTGAAGAGAATTGAGGAGAATGATGGACTGTATTCATGGGGCATGCAGTTTGGTACTGCCTTGAAGACGATTCAGCCTGGTGAGTACATTATGAATGAACGTGGAAGGAAAGCATTGAGTATATTTCCATTTGTATTCTAATTTATAGAGATTGTTGATCCTTTATTTAATTGGCCAAAAGAAGCGAATTTCGACGATCGTATTGTTTCCTACGTTTTGGATGAGGAAAACTTCACGCCTGCTCCTCCTATGGAACTTGTTCCAAATTATCAGAACGAAACCTTCTTAGGATACTATCGTGACGAACGTCGCGGTGTGGGAACTCGAAACTACGTGGTTGTTTTCTCTGCCTCCTCGCTCTGCAGTACTCCTTCACAGTCCCTGCGATCTAGACAGCATCGTCCAGCGCGTAACGCGCGTCTGTGCCCGAGAATACTCTCACCACAAACTCGAGAACGTGGATGGAATCGTCTGCTGCGTTCACACCGAAGGCTCCAGCGAAACCAAACCGAACAACGACTCCCTCGTTCTCCGCACGCTCAGCGGCCTCCTCGTTCACCCCAACGTCGGCGCCGCCATCGTCGTTTTCCACCCCTCGTACCGCCAATCGCGTTCTTTTTTCTTCTCTAGAGACTTCGTCGCTCAGACTTCGCTTCTCTCCTCGCTTTCTTCCATGGGGTTCGACGCCTCCTCCCTCCCCATCTCCTGGATCTCCCTCGAATCCGCACAATCCGACGAAGCCTCGCTCCGCGCCTCCGTTTTGGAGGGAGTTTCGATTGCCGCCAAAACCAAGCGATCCCCGCAGCCCCTCGCTTCGCTCTGCGTAGCGCTGCAGTGCGGCGGAAGCGACGCGTTTTCGGGAATAACCGCGAATCCGCTGCAGGGCGCCATCGCGGAGCACTTGATTCACCGCGGGGGAAGTGCGATTTTAGCGGAAACGGACGAGCTGATGGGCGCGGATGCGTACATTCTGGACAAAGTGCGAAACGTGGAAACGGCGAAGGCGTTCATGGCGACGCAGGCGCACTACGAAGCCGTGGCGAACCTGCACGGCGTGAGCGGGCAGGCGAACCCGTCCGGAGGGAACTTTTACCGCGGTTTGTACAACATCACGCTGAAAAGCCTGGGCGCGGCGATGAAGAAGACGGAGAACACGCGGCTGGAGGGAGTGCTGCGGTACGCGGAGCGGATCGGGGAGAAGCCGCGCGGGTATTACTTCATGGACACGCCGGGGAACGACATCGAGAGTGTGACCGGGCAGGTGGCCGGAGGGTGCAATGTGATCATGTTTTCCACGGGGAACGGGTCGATCACGAACTTCCCCTTCGTTCCGATATCCTTCGATCGCTCGCTCCCGCGGTTCTGGCGAGAAATCCGCGAGTGAAGGCTCCTTAACACGCAGACGCTGAAGCTGCTGACGACTTCGAAGCGCTACCACCGCTTAGAGAAGGACCTGGACATCAACGCGGGCCGCTTATTGGAGGGCGTTCCGCTGGAGGAGCTGGTGCAGGAGTCGGTGGAGCAGGTGCTTCGCGTGGCGGAGGGCCGTCGCACGTTCGGAGAGCGCGCGGAGCACAGCCAGGTGAGAGAAAGAGCGAAAGGACTGATCGGCAGATTCAGATCTGGAGGAATTGGTACTGCGAGTCGGAGGCGGACGTGGCGCGCTACGCCAACGCGGTCGCTCCGTCCAGAGTGCCGTTTGCAACGACGTCCATCGAGCTGCGCCCGCTTTACTTCGACGGTCTGCGCTTTGAAAAGGAGATCGGATGGGTCGATTCAACGCGCCACGCAAAGGGAGAACAAGTCGCCGCTCGCGCGGGGTTGGTTGTCTTCCCCACGTCGCTCTGCAGCGGACAAATCGCCGCCATCATCGCCGACACGCTGCGCGACTACAAACGGGGAAACGGGGAAACTCAATATATGAAACTTCTTGATGAATGTGGAGATGAAGAGAGTGGATGATGGATAGGTTTCTCCGGTTTCTCCGGTTTCTCCGGTTTCCCCATTTCAGAGAAGGGAGAAGTGACGTTTGTGGAGTCGTTGGTGCATACGGAAGGATGTGCAGAGGGCTATGGAGAGTCGGCTTTGGACGGAATGAAAAACTACGATCGTGTGGCGATGGGCCACATGCTGCATCCCTTCAGCCGCTTTGTGTTTATGGTGGAACACGGCTGCGAGAAGAGCCTGCTCTCCTACTTCGATCTGCATTTTAGAGAGGACTGCGGAGTGGAAATGGGGAAATTCGGACAGGCGTCGGTGCAGAAGGACGGAGGCATTCACAACACTGTGAAGAAGGTAGGATTTTTGGAAGTCCATTATTCGAGGCTTTTTCGTGGATCATCGAGACAATGAAGAACCGCAAAATGTTGGAAGTGGTGCCGCACGTTCCAATAAAAGGCCTGATTTTTGGAGTTCTGACCAATCGGACGTCGATCGATTCGAACTCTGTGAAATTGCTGGCGAACGTGATTCGACAATTGGTGCGGAATCAGTGCGTGGTCGTGATTCCAGAAAACGACAAGATTCTTGGAATTCCGGAATTCCGGTCGATTTTGTTTGACTCGGAAGAAGAGCTTCCGAGTTCGATTCTGAACGGAGAAATGGTGGAAACGGAGAAACCGGGAGTTCAGATCATGCGAATGGGAAGTCCGTCGGACTATGTGGAGACGATCACTTCCCTGGGAGCGACGGGAGCTTCGCTTCTTTTGCTGTTCTCCGACGCTCCGATCGCGCTGTCTGGGCATCCGTTCATTCCAACGGTGCGAATGGGAAGCAAGCCGACGAAGAGCGGAATGGTGGACGTGCTGACGACGGAGGGAGAAGAGGCGGTGTATCGAAAGATTGAGAATGTGCTGAGTCGTCGGGAGAAGACGAAGGTGGAAGAGAAGCGGCTTACGGATTTCCAGATATTGAGAACAATGAATGGATTTTCGTTGTAAGGACGATGGTTGTTTGTTTGAGAATGGTTGTGGAGGAAGGCATTTGCACTTTTGGTTTATGGGCTTAGTTAAAGATTTTTATTGGTGACATCTTTTCGAAATAGCTTTGTAGAGTTTTTGATTGTTTCTCTCTTGTAACATGAATTCTCATTTCAATTATGTATTTAATAAACAAACAAAGGCTTACAATACCTCCTAATACATTGCGGTAACAGGTATTCTAATGCTTTGCTTGGGGATTATTAAGAATATCTGCAAGACGGCGAGAAATATCTATAAAGAACAATAGGGTCAATGCAAGCAGTACTTGACACCATCAGATAATCTACCCTCCCAAATGAGATATCATCATGTGAAGAATAATTAAATCTGATTATATCTAGATTTGGAATGTCTAAATAGTATCAACATTCATCACTTAATAATACTTTCCAATGTCACCTCATAAGTATAACAGAAACTATATCCTTTAGAATAGAAAAATGATAGATTTGGAAGATCTACAAAACAAATCATAACCAATCAATTCATCATTACTTCGAAGTATCAATGAACTTGAATAATCATCCTTTCTTCCATAAAGTGCCAGATAACCGAGTTGAATAGATTGTAATGATGGAAGATCTACATTAATCATTTCATTTAAATTCATTCAATACTTTCAATTATTGTTGATAAGGAATTATAGAATGCACAATCACCTAATGTAATGGATTGTAGATTTGGAAGATCTATGCATCATTCAAATATTCAATATCATATCCATACCTCGAATTACAAATGAACTATAATAGAAATTGTATGACCAACTTCCAATTGTGCCAATTTGAATAGATTGTAATTGTGGTAGATTCTTCAATTCAAAGTCGCCTCCAAAATCACTGAAACTCCTTTCACCAATTTGAATCGATTCCAATGATTCACAATTCAATATGTGGAATGATTTCGATTTGTCATTTCCATTACTATTCTTTTTCTGAGTAAATGAATTGCTTCCGATTTTGATAGTTTTCAATCGATTCAATCCATCGATTTTGAATGTTTGCACTGAGCCAAAACATTCATCGCCGATTTCGATTGATTCCAACCATTCCAATTGGTTCATTTTCAATTCATTCAATTCATTACAACTATACGAACATATCACCAATTCTGTTACTTGCAAGTCCATTTCATTCAATTCACAACTATTGTTCACTTCAATTCGTTTGGGAGGCACATTTACAATTGGTTCAGTTTTCATTTCATTCGGATTTTCATTCTTTAATACACTTCGAATACTTTCATTCATTCCTTTCACATACCAACCTTCATACAATCGAATTCCTCCATCATTTTCTTTGCCATGTTCCCATTCACTTTCACGAATTGCTGTTCCACTGCTTTCATCAAGCAAATATCCCAATCCATTTCGGACAAATTTGCCATTTTCGATACTATATCCTCCTATATAGATAGGAATTCGATTCAATATTTCATCATTTCCATTCTCATCATCGTTTTCAGCATATTCGATCATTTGGTTATTATCAGCGTCAAATTCACGAATCACTCGAATCAATTTGTCTTTTGACCAATATCCTTCTATCTTCTCTTTACCATCATTTTCTATATCATATTCGATTCCATAGCCATCTCGATTCATTTCTTCATCAAATCCACCTCGATAGATCACAATATCATCATTATCATTCTCTTGATCATTATCATTTCCACGCTTACTTCGAATTGTCATGATCAATCCTTCTTTACTATTTTCGATTCTTCTGCGATCTCCATCATTTCCAAGAACCGAATTCCAGTTTTCTCTTTGTAATGCTTTACCATTTTCATATTCAGTTAATTTACCGATTCGTTTACCATTTTTCATCATCCATGCAAGACTCAAGATTCCACGATTGAATAATTGGCAACGACCTTCTACTTTACCCTCTTTCATTTCACTCAACAAATACTCATTGGAATGATCTCCTTGATATAGAGTGACTTCATAGTGTACTCCATTAATGGAAATAATCTTCTTTTCCCTGGTAATGTAGTCATTGAGAAAATAACTCGAGTTTCCACTCTTTGTCAACAATTCTATGTTATTATGCTATTTCTATATTAATACTCTCAAACAGGCGGACCATTGCTATACAATGAACAAATAATCTGTAAGATTGTTATTTGACATTTTATTCACTTTCTTCCCTGTTTCTTTTAGTCATACCTTTTAGCATTTTCTGAGTCATTTCCAATTCTCTTGGTGTATACCCCAACTCAATTGTGTTTATAAAGGCATCCTTACCTCATTCTCCACATTATGCTCTTCTTTCTATGTGATTCTCTCCTAACATCAGAGTCCTATCCTTCTATCCTAAAAACGAATCTCGTCTCACCCAATTAACCTCCAACACATTATTTAACAAACAAAATATCCCCATATTACACTTTTTGCATCAGGAACACACAGTCATCCATCTTTATCCATCTGCGTGTCCAGTCAATTCCAGAAAAACATTTCTCCACTCCAATCACCCGAAACTCCTCTCCTGCTTCCTTTGGATCATGCGTAAGCAGATAATCATATCGAGAGAAGTCTGTCAGATTCTCCGTTTTGTCATATCGAATTCCATCGATCTCCAAATACCGTGAAACGCCTACACTCACATTTTTTTCTCTTTTTCAGTACCCGTCTGAGCGGAATACACATCGATATGCAGCCACGGCATTGTATGCGAGTCCATTCCTGCCTGACGTTGCACGATTTCCTTCTATTTTCAAGAACCAACCATCGAATCGAACATTCATTCGCATCAAAGCGTAGCCTCCCGGATAATTATACATCGATGGGATTAAAAACAGGATCGTTAGTGCCACACTACGCTTCATCGCTTATTCGAAGCATCACGTCGCGATTCCATAGCCGGCAAGAAGCAAACTCTTCCACCACGACTGCGAACAATGCGACCAAACGCGAGCCAAACCGACTGCAATGAAGGAAAAGGAAGGAGAATACCGGCGGCGCAGGCGTTGATCGCAGGGACGATGATGAGAATAAAGCGAAGCTCTTTGTGAGGAAGAATGGAGTAGAGGAGAATGAAGGCGAAAATGGGGAAAAGAAGAGAACCGATGAGAGGATCGGGCTGAAAGAGGGAGAAAATGAGTCGTTTGATGTGGCTTAGGAAGTGATTCGATTGGTTTTCTTTGGATTCGGTGGCTTTCCAGAGATTTTCTATTCTGAATGGAGAGGAGAAGCGAAACGGAGTTTGGAAAGGGGCTTGGTGAGGAACGTGGAGAGAGGAGGACAAAGAGCGAAGGGAAGAAACGGAGCACAATTGTAAAAGAGACGCGGAATCACCGAAACGAAATACCAAGAATAAGGTTGTGTCTGAAAGCAATTAGAAAAATAAAGTAAAAGTGTACTCCCCAATTCGAGCTTTTGTTCAAGATTGTGTTGTAATAGAGAACGACAAGCTCCGGAACGAGCGCGTATCTCCAAAAAATACTGTCTATGGACGCCTATTTCGAAGGATGGTTAAAGGTGGTACGCTTAAAAGAAGGGAAAGAAAGCCGGATGTGATTCCGCTTGCGATGATTTGAATGAACGAAATGGAAGGAGAAAAGAGGAGGAGGAGGACAAAGGGAGCGAGGAGAACGAGCGTATCGCATCGAATCACCACGCAGCAGAAAACAAACAAAGAAATAAAATGCTTGTATTGCTGCGAAGTGAGTTGAATACAAACGAAGATACCCCGTCCAGAAAGCAGCCGAATGCATACGTCACTAAGGCCAATGCAAATGTGTTGGGAAGAGGACGACCGAGGTAAAACATGAGATGAAATTGACTGCAGCAGATCCAAATGAAGGCATGTCCGGCAGACGATCCGTATTTCTTTACCAATGCTCTGCGCAGACGATGGATACCCATAAAATTGAGTAACACCAAGGCGAAGCGCATTACTAGGAATTACTTCGGTTTTCCGATAAAATACCAAGGAGAGAATAGTATTTGGGAATTTCCAAAAACTGAAAGACACGAACTATAGGAAAACTCATTAGTCTACGAAAAAGGATTGTTAATCATATGTACGATGTGATTATAGATCCTATGAATGTCCTTGGTACAACTCCGGGAAATTCAAGGTGATCGTACTTGTCAATATCGAACCCATGATAGAGAAGGTCATGGGATGCCTGCACATTGAAACTCTCTTCCACCTTCGTAAAGGGACACAGTACAATCTGTAATAATCACACCTTAGCAATTCTTACATAAATCGCCGCAACTATGAGAATTGGCAATTCCGAGATAACGTCCTTAACGGAATGTTTCATAAAACGAATTTCAGAACAAATGAAAATTCTTACTAGAACCCATCCTTCACATTGTTTATCAAACATCGTAAACTCAACATTTAGAAGTAACAAACACACTATTTATCGAAAACGGAAGTAAACTACTATCAGTACAAATCCCACAATGAAAGCAAGCGGCGCATACTTTCGGAGCATCGTCTACGCTCTGATTCGCTCATTTCTTCCATACCATGTAATTCAGCTTCTTCGCTCCCCACTTGTATTTCTTCGAATCATCCATCAGCTGCTCGCTCGTCGCCGTCACATCTTTGTCTCACTTCACTTCCGCTCAGTTACGATCAAGCTTTTCCACGCGATGCACCACTTCATCGATGTTCTTTCGCATAATGTTCTGGATGTCGATTAGGTTTTCGCTCAGCTGCGCATAGCTGTCCAGACTGCTCGACGGCTGGTCGTACAGACGGCGTTTTGCCTGGATTTCCTTGTCTGCCGTTCACAATACAACGCAAAAACTACCGAAACGGGCAAATGCGTAGGGACGAGCGGTAGTTGCGAGAATTGTCTTCCATCTACAGAGTAAGCACGATGCACAGCTCGAACTCGGTGCTGTTTTCAGTCTGCACATAGTTCAGGAAGGATGTTTTCACATCTTCCAAAAACGCAAAGATCGCACGCTTCTGCATGTTCTTCTCCGTCAAGGTCAAGAAACACAGGTTTTCATAGATCAAATAGCTGGAAGGGGAGCGAAGGGAACCAACGATACCTGAAGCATAAGTCGCCGGATGTCACTTGCATTTGTGTCGCACTACTGCTAGAAAGGGATTTCAGCAGTCTTTTCGACTAGGGTCAAGCGAATTGAAGGAATGCTACTTCATCTTTAAATGAATCGATATCACGTCCTGCCTCCACAGTTGAGAGCATGGATGTCACCTAGGTCTAATTCCAGTCCCTGTAGAAGGTACAAAGATAAGTCCATCTGTCACTCTACCTACTGAAGTGAGAAAAAACATAAAAATAGTAGTATAAAAAACAAATAAGGGTGAAATAATCCTTCGATAATCAAGAAGGCAGCTTTTCATTCTTCGATTTTTCGATGTTTCAGTACGGAATCGACTTTTTGCAGTGTATTACAGATGTGTAAACTCCATTCAATTTTAAATGAAACTGAATCAGACAATAAATATGAATTGCAGGAGGATTTTGGCATTATATGAAAATAAAAGTATTAATAATAAATGCAATAGCCGGGAATCGAACCCGGGCCTGATCCGTGGCAGGGACCTATCTTACCACTTGACTACTATTGCTCCATTTCTCAGCTCCCAAACACACATTATATACCTTACGACTCAAATAGTACAATAGTTTAAACACATTAATTATGAAACAGAAAAAATCTATTTATGTTAATGTGATATCTCTCATTGTCATTCTCTGTTTGGGATAGTAAGAATTGAGATCCGAGTGATATTGTAGCTTATATTATCGCACTTTGTACCATAGCCATCATGTAAACGTTTCCTTTTGATTGAATTGTGATTCTAGGTTCCTTTATCAAAGTCCTCATTCTATCACTCGCAACGCAATTCACTCCCTTCTATAAACCATTTACGGGTGGAAAGAAATCCAAAATCACTCCAACTCGATAATGTGAACTATGAACAACGACAAGTCGATATTCTGATGAGGCAATACAATTTTATGTACAAGGAGAAATGAACAATATATAGTTTTATGAGTCTGACCTATTTTCCTTGTTTGTCAATAATCTCGAATGTATATCTATTTCCTATTCGTTTATGATGATAGAATCGGGTTATCTTTAGTCTTTGCGAAATTCGCTCTTTGCAGGATTATTACGAATATCAAATAGCAAATTTTATTAATAAGGGATTTCACATTGGTTCACGTCACGCAGATGAAGGGGATGGGAATAGCAAGCCTTCTGAGCAGAATTCGAGTGAAATTGGTGTTCTTACAAAGGTTGCTGATTATCAGGTATATCATCTGTGAGTTTGTCATTTTTCTTGTTGATTCTAGCTATCTTTATCGTATTAGCAAGGAAATCTGTCTATTTCTTCTTGTATCGATCACTGTGGGTGATAATACCCTTATTGAAGTTTTTCATCTGATTCCTTGGTTTTCTCTTAGATTATGCAGGATATCTATCAGACATACTTGCAATGCAGAAACAACCCACTTTCACTCACCAAACCCGACAGTCTTCTCCACTCAACCACGCTTTATTCAGCTGTACATCTTCCCAAATATCGATCTTACCCACAGATATTTGATCTATTGTATGATGCAGAGAGAAAGATGACTTTTTAACTGTACTATTGGAATAATCTGTTGTTTGTTTGAATAGACATCCGTCCTGATGTTGTCAGAATAAAATCTCATCATGCGACCTTGGGACAAAAAGAAGAAACCAGAAGTAGCTGCTGGTAATTTAAAGTTAAATATTAGGGTTGGGAGGTGATCGAGCCTACATTAAACGAACTTGATATGAAGATGAGAGAAGGTAATTTTGAGATTACGACTATTTTGACATGTAGCGGAAAGTCAACCTCATGATGGAAAACGGAAGCAAGAGTCAATTTGGCCGATCCTTCAGATTCACCACCAGAAATCGTAAGAATTTCTTCATTCAGCATTCCTTCCTAGCCGATATATATGGGAAGCATATAAGGACAAGCAGATTTCCAGAGAACTATACGATTTTTGCATAAAGAATAAAATAGCGGACAAAGATTTAATTGCCATGTGGAAAAAGGTATTGTTGTGTCGTTTCGCATCATCACTCTAGAAAGGGTACGAAAAACTATGCTGTATCGCGTGTGCGCAGAATGGCGAACACAATTTCCGCTCTACTTGCATCTGTCGTGTACTCTCTCTGTTTTCTCCTTTTCCTAGGTTCCCAAGGCGAATTTGCCTCCTGGCAAGGTCGTCGAGTGCGTAACATGCGGCTGCCGTGGCTGCGCGAGTTGCGATGGAAGCAAGGCGGTGGAGATGAGTGTGGATGTTGATGTGTAGCCAAAGAAACGAGAGCATGAGGAGGAAGCGGACGAGACGAGAAAGCGAATCGAGGCATTGAGGAATATGCATATATCGGATGAGAGTGAAGAAGAGAAAGAACAGGAACAAGAAGAGAAAACGAACGAGCCCGAAGAGCGTGAAGCTCTGGAGAAGGATGAGAATCAAATTGACGGTGATGAGAAGATAGGAGAAGGTTTTGAGAAATCCAATGAGGAGGAGGAGGATTCGAATGTTTGTGAAAAACCCAATCTGACAGAACTGATTTTGATTTTCGAACCTTTTATATTTTTAGATTAGAGAATGTGGAGATAGGTGAATTTTGTAATTAGTAGATGTCAGTTCCGCGTAGTTCAGATTCGACCACTTCAGAGTTTCTGCCTCCTATTTTACCAACTTCAAAAGTTTGATTCACTGCTGTTATTGATGATTGTGTAGTTACTACAATCAAAACGAGAGGAGAACTTAAATAGCCGAATTCGCAGTGAAAAAGAAAGAAATGAACTTAAAATGAAACAGTTTTCGTTTTATACATTGTCTTTACATAATAGATCGATGCGTAAGAACTCCGCCATCAACATCCGCAACAACACATTACCCCCGGTCGTTCGTTTCTTATTTAGCATATTAACGTTCAGAACAACGAATACGACACAGATATACTATACATGCGTCGTGACACAGATTACCCTCGAGGCGACTCCATTTCTTATGGTAAAACCGCTGCAGAAAGCGATCTTTCCACTCTCTCCCACTCTCCCTCCCATTCCTCCAAGCCTCAAGTGTATCAGCCGGAATACGTTTCTTCCTCTCGTCCAATCAGCTTTCACGAAGAGTTCTCCGATGAAACTGCCTGGGTTGAACATCCCCACCCCCTTAACCCATAGGTTCGGGTGTTCGGGTTTCCCGCGGGAGATACTTCGAGAGTGTTGGAGGAGTTTCAGCGTGGGAGTTTCATCGCAGAGAGTCGGTCCAGCACCTCGAATTCCCTGTTTCTCCGTTTCCACCGTCAGGAAGACGTGGAACGAGCATTGGCAAAAAACGGGACTTATTTGAACGGGAGTTTCATTGGTGTATGTCGTTGTGCAGCGGAGGAAGTGGGGATGGAGGGAAGAGCAGAACCGCGGGAATTGGCGAGTGAGTCGATGGATACGAGGTAGGAAAAAGGGCGGGGAAATGAGGCGAAGAAATTATTTGCTAAAGGAAAATGAGATTTATAAGAAGGCGCCAGTGAAGCGATTCTCTGTGTGCACGTGGATAGCGGAATGGTTGTTTGGATTGTGGAGTGTTTGTTGTTATGAACGTCTTTTTTTATTGAAGGAGGAGAAATAAGGGGTTGTCTGGTGATAAAGAATGGAATGGGAGAGGGCGGGCAATCATCATCATCGTAATAATAGAAATAGAAATAGATTAAGGATTGAGGAGAGAGTTCGAATGGTTTGCGCATTTAGAAATGGTATATGCAATGAGTTGAGTTGTACTGTAATGAAAGAATGATTACTGGAACACTTGTCTCATACAACAGGTAACAATGATATGAGAATAACAATTGAATCATGGTAATGTGCAAACTACAGGTTCATAGTATGATAGAATTCATTGAGATCAAGAGAAAATGATTCAGAGCGTGTTAGTATGTTCTGTGTAAATTGAGAGTTGTGAATAAATAAAGTGAGGGGTATCATAGATATGTCGTATAATGTACTTTTTGGAGGTGTTCACTATTCACGTATTGATAGTCTCATTTTTCGAAATGATTCATATAGACTATGTAATCACATCCATGTTTAAGCAATACCATCATAAAAGGAGATGTATGTGTCATAAAAAAGGAGGAATTTGATGATCGTTCATGAGAAAAAGCTTAATGTAGGTTTTTCCCACAAAAACGTTTCCTTCCAGTTTTACCATTTTTCGATGGAAAACATTGCTGATTTTGTCAATTCTGCTATTAGTAACTATCATATTGATAGTTCTATGATTCAAAATGTGCAAATATACTTGGGTGAAGAAATGAAACCAAATGGCTGGATTTCACTCATGTTGAGTAATAGAGATTGTGTGGTGTTGCAATTCAATAATGGAGTATTTATGAATCAAGGATTTCTGGTCAATGAGCAGAAAGTGTTGAAAGTGATTGGAAATCATCAAATTGGTTCTGTTTCATATAATAATGGAGTAGTAGTAGAAGAAATCGTGGATTTGGATCATGGAAGTCGATTTGAAGGTTTGGTATTGGAAGAAAAAGAAGGTAAAATTGGAATTCCATTTGGATATGGTGAAATGTATGATGATGATGGAATATTGGTGTACAAGGGCATAATGATCAATTGGAAACGATTTGGATATGGAACGAGTTATCATAATAATGGATGTATTGAATATGAAGGATATTGGTGTGATGATAATCGATTTGGAAGTGGAAAAGTGTATGATCGATATGGTAAATTAGTGAATGAATGTGAATGGTATAATGGAATTGAATGTGATATTGATGAAAAATATGAAGGAAATGGAAGCAAGCCATTGAATATGGGAATGAAACATTTGAAACTGAGTGACAATTGTGTATTGATTGATTGGGATGTTTCATTGTTGTATAATTTGGAATCAATCGAAATCGGCGATGAATGTTTTGAATCAGTGCAAACATTCCAAATCGATGGACTGAATCGATTGAAAACGATCAAAATCGGAAGCAATTCATTTACTCAGGAAAAGAATGGTATTGGAAATGACAAATCGAAATCATTCCACATATTGAATTGTGAATCATTGGAATCCATTCAAATTGGTCAATTTAGTTTTAGTGATTTTGCTGGCGACTTTGAATTGAAGAATCTACCACAATTACAATCCATTCAAATTGGTACAATTGGAAGGTATTCATACAATTTATGTCGTAGTTCATTTGTGATTCGAGGTATTGATATGATATTGATATTTGAATGATGCATAGATCTTCCCAATCTGCAATCCATTACATTAGGTGATGGTGTTTTCCGTGATTCCTCAACAACAATAATTGAAAGTATTGAATGAATTCGAATAAAATGATTGATATAGATCTTCCATCACTACAATCCATTCAACTCGGTTATGCTGCACTTGCTGGGAAATATGATGAATCAAGTTCGTTGATAATGCGAAGTATAAATGAAATGATTCGAAATGATCGATTGTAGATCTCCCAGTATTTTCATCCATCGTTTCTGAATTCGGTAGTTTCGAATATCCTCGCGTAGTGACATTGGAAAGTAATTCTGAATATTGAATATTAATAGTATTAAGATATTCCAAATCTTCAACATGTTGAGCTACCTAACGCTTTTCAGAAAGCAAAAAATAAAGTTTTTAAAGGTATGTATTGTTTTTGTTATTGACTATAGATGTCTATAATGTTATTCACTCATATTTCTATTGTCACAATTATATTCAATCGATTACTGCATCTGTTACTTCCATAGCTATTCCCAACTGGGCTTGTAATGATATTGATTATGCTATTTTTGATTTCTCGCGATTTACTCGAGTGGAATCAATCGAAATCGGCGATGATTGTTTTGGATCAGTGCAAACATTCAAAATCGATGGATTGAATCGATTGAAAACGATCAAAATCGGAAGCAATTCATTCACTCAGACAAAGAATAGGTATGGATGTAGCAATTCAAAATCATTCCACATATTGAATTGTGAATCATTGGAGTCCATTCAAATTGGTCGATCAGTTTCAGTGATTTTGCTGGAGACTTTGAATTGAAGAATTTGCCCAAATTACAATCTATTCAAATTGGTACAATTGAAAGTAAATCATTCAATTTTTCGTGCAGTTCCTTTGTGATTCAAGGTATTGATATGATATTGAGTATTTGGGTAATGTATAGATCTTCCAAATCTACAATTAATCTCTATAGGCCACAATGCATTCCGCGACTCATTAACAACAATAATCGAGAGTATTGAACGACTTTGAGTATAATTATTGGCAATAGATCTTCCATCACTGCAATTCATCCAACTAGGTTTAGGGGCATTCTATGGAAAGGAGAATGATTCATCATGCTCCTTGATACTGCGAAGTAAAAAATAATGGATATGAAATGATTGAATGTAGATCTTCCAAATCTAACAACTATTATTAATTCAAAAGGAAATAGTTTCAAATGTCCTCGTTCAGTAACATTGGAAAGTATTTTTGACAATTGAATACTGATTGTATTTAGATATTCCAAATCTACGAGATGTTAATCTACCTAATTCTTTTGATTCTGTTCAATCAAAATCTATTGAGAGTATTGATAATCTAGTTTATTGTATTTCACTCATAGATGTTTCTCCCATTCTTGCCGATCTTGTGAAATATTCTCAAAAGTATGTATCCGAATCGGAAGATATACCTGCATTTGCAACAGAAGCATGACCATAAGGTAATGTAGTGTGCATATTCACAAGCACCACACTGTTCTACGATACAATCGAAATGAGCCAGATATTACTCCAGCATTGATCACTCCATTCCATAGATTTCATTGATTATTTATGTTCAATGCTTACACACTTTGTTTGTTTATAATCCGTTACTATCATTCGTTGGTCATTCCTATAGGATCTAATCACTAATTGACTCATTTCCATAATCACAACGCAAATTGGCTAAGCAAGCATATTCCAATCCTCGATGTGATCGATGTTAGAAATAATTAAATATAAATATGACCAATAGAAATGTTGTTTTGAAAGGATCGAGTTCAATTCATTGTTTCAAATAGAAATGTATTATTATTGATTTTAATGGTCATATTGAGGCCATCAAGATAGTCGGCTAAATAATAACTGATTCTTTGAGATTATATTCATAAACCGGATGTGAATGTATTTGGATAGTACCATTTCTATTTGATTTGTGTATACTGCATTAAATGAAGCGATCTATAATTATTAAAAGTATATTATATTATGACTAGGTTTTATATTCGAAAAGAATTGTTCACTTTTGAATTTTAGTGAGAAAAATAATAGAACAGTATAAAAAGTATGAAGATTATTGTATATACTGTACAAAAGCACGAAGAATCCAATGATAAGAATTGTTATTAAATCATAATGACAACCATTTTTCAAACTGATTGTCGATGTAATAAGCTAATATGCGCATATTCCCGTACTGCATATAGTATTTTTTAAATAATTGTAGAAAGAGTTAAAATTGGAGATGTTTCTTGTTTTATAGCATCCATGTTATTACCTCAAATAATGGATTTTATTACTCTATTTCACCAATAGTGTTACTGTCACTCCGTTTGTTCGTTGTGTTAATTATGCCTCATTTCTTTATCATTATCATTATTGTACTCATTTCTCTTTTTTATTGCCTTTCATAAACATAAAATTCACTAACTTCTATTATTGTTTGTCAAAATCCACTTTATGTGGTTTTAAGGTTAATTTGCAGAGTGAAATAATAACAGCATATGATTCTTCCATTCGACAATGACTCACATTGTTTATACGAACATAGGATAAAAGTTATTTGGTATGTATACTTTGCTCACTCTGTCCTCTTATATATCCATTAAGAAATCGTTAGTATAGAGTTATGCCTCTTCATAGCTATAAACAAACAGCTTATTTTATGTGTATCAAATGCCTGTTTTTTGTAATATGTGTGTTGTAAGGAGAAGAGAATAAATGGAAGTATTGTCCATTATCTAAATACACATGACAAAAGAAATCAAGTATTATATTCCTTATTTTCATGTTTGGTAAATATCGTGACTCTACCTCAATCATAGCCCCATTAGTGGTTCAATTTATACCCCCAAACATCTAAATATTCGCAGTATATTATTCCAACAACTAATACACAATGAATTACCCCATATTATTTCATACACTTTCATATATGTCATTGATACAATAGAAATACTTAACTTGTAAATCAATTCAACTGAATGAGTGCCATTGCCATTCTATTTGTTTCAATTATTATTATTCCAGCAAAACATATAAATAAGAATATATTGGACTAGAATTAGACATTAGATATTTACATCAGTTTTCGTCTTTACTTGAGCTTGATTAGGAGCCGTAGACTTCGCAGATTTAGCTGTCTTTGGTAACGATTTCTTAGAGCTTGATTTTTTGATCAGCAATATAATTAGGACAACAATTATAACAACCACAACAACCACAATAACCACAATAACCACAACCATCCCATCAATTCCACCATTAGATTCATTATCATCAATTGGAGCTTGTACTATTGCTATGCTAATTGTACTATTATCGTTTGATCCTGCCTGATTTTTCACTATAATTGTGTACTT